ACGCCGGAAAACAAATGAACGTCGGACGACCGACATCATACCACGGCATCAGCTCACTTCGATCTTCAGGCCAAGTATGCTAATAACCATTCAATCCAATGCAGTCACTATTGACTTATTCTAAATTAATTGCAGCTCCTAGTAACAACATCTCAGTCCTTAGCCAAAAAGAAATGCTTTTTAATGACACACTGGAATATATAATTTCTACATTGGATATGAAATACTTAGTAACCTTGCCAATATTTTCAAATCATTTTATTCCTTGTATTATGATATACAACATAATCAAATAAAAGTGCATGTGTGGCCTAAAGTCAACCTGAGGTCTTGACTCATTCTTGTCTTTAGTCTTATGCTGTGAAAAAAATGCTTTAGTTTAAGATTGATAATAAACAAATATTTTTTCTTCTGAAATTATTCAACTGTGACATAAAACTTTTCGCATACATCTTACATACATTCTAATTGAGTTAATTAATCTAGTGTCTCAGCTTTTGTTGTCATGGTTTCATATTTGTGTAATTAAAGTATTGCTGGCTTCCCAAATAAATAAACTGATCACGGTTGACTTAAGCATCTTAATATTAAGTAATGTCAATATGTAAATGTCAACATGTTAATGTCAAAATCCAAAATGTCTGTCTGTTCTTTGTTCTTCAAATAAGTTTTTAAAATCAACATGAAGAACTAAGGACAAAAATAAAAAGATGTTTTTATTTATACAAAGTTTTTGTTGGCCTGTGGGCCAAATTAATGTGTCTTCAAAAGTTCTGTAGGTTAGAGTTTGAGCTCACACCCATAATGCATGTAATTCTTATGTTTGTAATTCGCATAGGCTTTGTCTGTTTGCTTGAAATTGATAACTTTGATGTTGACATCAACTTCCTAAGTATTTTCTTTGTAATTGCCATTATGAAATACAGCTTTATCCTTCAGACTCTCATGTACATAATACACATATCCAATACAAAGAACATAATATAAAGAACCCACCTTCAGCCTATTGTGACTGACTCTCCTGATTTTAAGTTTTGGTATCCACACAAAAGGCAAAGGACATTTTCACCTGCCACTGATGACTGCACAGTGTTGGCTCTACTACCAGATAATATTACATTGCATGTCCTTTTTAATCATAACATGTTCCTTATCGAATCAATGTTTCTAGTTGAGTGTGAGCAAATTAATTTGTTTAGACATAAAAAGGAAGTTCCCTTATTGAATTTGTTGTTGTAGTCAATATGGTAAATTTGAAGTCAAATCCGGTGTTATATCATATTTGTATCCCCTATCATAAAAGTGTCAAATCCGGTGTCATATCATATTTGTATCCCCTATCATAAAAGTATCTGGATACTGTTTCTGGCCATCATAAAAGTATCCCCTCCCCCCTATAGAATTTGTATCCCCTCTTCAACATCTTTTTTCATTAACATTGTACAAGGTTAATTTGAGGAAGCAATCACAAAAAATAGTTATAGGTAACTGTACAGGTGTCATGGTAACATAACTAGGTAATTAGTTAATGACACCTGGCCATGGTCAAGCACTACTGTATTATATAACAGGAGAGCAGGGATCACACCTGAATTGTTTTAAGTTGGTTCATAAGGAGATGTACTCCAGAAAAACGTAAAAAAAACCAGTCCACCAGCATCAGAGGAATGTCAATAAGTGACCTCTGTAACTACTACCACAATTTTCCCACCATGCCTGATAAAAGAATTAGCTGTTTTTGACAGTTCACTTGGAATGTGACCCACTGTTTTCCCTTCTTTCACAACTATGGTTGCAAACTTGTCAAACGGATTATTATCCTCAATAACTGTATCAAGGCACTGTCCTATGAATGGTTTCCAACACTCTCTATAAACATGATATCCCCTGACCACAGACGAATATTCATACATGAAAGACAATTTTTCGCACATTCATAAACCATGTGGTAGATGATCTTTACCTTGTGTACCTTGGTGTCGCGCACTCAGCTACAGTAACAACGACTGAATAGGCATAGTCCATTACTTAACAGGTAAGATAGCCATTGATACAGCAGATTAAGAAATGATGTTTCCGTGTGTGATAGATTATCCGACAGAAACAAATGAAGCAGTTAGATATTAAATGACAAATAAAATACTTGTGCTAAAACAGGCAAGTATGAATGGAATTCTATATCTTTATCATAAACAAATTCCCTTTCGTGTCATCATGTTAAGATTATCTGAAACAATTTATCGACAACATTGTTACATAGAGGTTGACACTGAAATTATAGTGACCACAGACACATCACAATCTCACAAAGGAGGCCGAATAAAGTCGTATGAAATTTCTTTCAAGTTAAAAGTTATGGAGTTTGCCAAGGAATGGAGAAACAGCAAAGCATCAAAGCAGTACGGTATAGATAGGAAGCAAATTCGCAATTGGAGACAAAAAGAGAGTGAATTGAAAACCTCTTTACAAAATACCTCAAAAAGGAGACGGAAAGTTTTGTAATCACACCAGCTTCATTATCTAAAATTGTATAATGTATGAATGTGTACAAAATGTATATTAAATATATGAGACAAATTATTGATGACTGGCAGTTCTAAAATCTATTACACACAGATATTTAAAATAAAATCTTATATTTGTTAAAGGCATGAATATATTTGTTAGGCATTTGCCTTATATAATCATGATAAATATTCAAGACAACAATTCACCATAAAACTTAGCCCATAAATCACATTTTTTTACATTTTCATTTTCTAAACTCACATTTTCTTTCTTTGTACATGCAGTATGACACCACATGGATTCCATCCTTGGTTTCCCATCCGCAATCCATACTCGACATGCTTGACGCATATTGCAATGATAGTAATTCAGTTCATGCTTTGTCCATTATGGATTGAGATATGTTCTAAATGCTTTCCTTGGGACAGACATAAAAACGCACAGGTAAATTACAGGTGTAAGCCTTTGTTTACATCACAGATATAATGTGAGACAAGTCAAATATTAAAGATACTATACAATACAGACATCTCGGTAATGCTGGTGTCAAATGTCATCTCTACATTTTGAACATTGGACATGCAATCTTACAACTGCTTCATAGCTTGAATTCTTGGCAAAGAACACCCACTTCATGCGGAGCACTGTTGAACATGTCCATTCACTTTGATATCACAGTCTTCCATTTATTATTGTAGTCAGTTAATTGGACACCTATACAGGTACCCCTGATATATATGGTCAACTGACTGACCAACAACCAAAGTATAAACAGCAAATTTGTAAAACATATAAAGTTATAGTATTGATCTCAAGAGGGGATAAAAATACTATAGGGGGGGATACTTTTCTGATGGGCTAAAAAGAATCCCCAGATACTTTTATAATGGGGAAAAAGTATCCGGGTACTTTTATGATAGGGGATACAAATATGATATGACACCGGCTTACCCTGACTTACCCAGATCATTTAAGGAGTTAAGATTTGTTATAGTAATTTGAAATAGCTTGTATATGAATGAATTTGTATTTTCAAAGGAACTTTTTTAATTTGATGTTGAATCCAGAACTGTTTTGACATTACTTGGTCATGTTGGCAACTTCTGGTTGCAGCAGGTTGACAAAATGACAGCTTCGCCTGTCACTGGGCTATCACTGACAGCCCTCCAATATAAAAAGCACATTTCATACCCATTAGCTCCAGACTCAGGTTCACCAAGGTTAATTATAATATCGACTTTCTTTAATCCTGGTTAAAGTTAGTTGTTCTTTTTCAGGATTTAGCCATGTGCTAATTTTCTGATATCATCACCAGCTTTCCATCTACAATATCCTTTAGTGTGGATTGGTATTACAAAATGTGTTATGATTTAACAGGCTAATGTTTTCACAACATGTTTCTTAAATGTTCATCTATTTTTAGCCAGTATTTGGCTAATTCTGTCACTTACATGTACTAAAGTAAACTTAAATATATAATATTGAACTGCTTACTTACAAACTACTATAGGAGTCATGGTTGTAATTATTTCAACAGATAACACTAATGCAAATTGTTTATTGTTAATTCTGACAAATTTAGTTATTTAACTTACTACTGTGACTTAATGGATGGGGCTCATAAGATCTCAGGGAATCAGGGGAAGTTTTTATTTATAACTGTTAAACAGAAAACAGTATTTGTGAAATAGAGTGAGAGATTGCTATGTTTGTAATTTATGTGATAATTGTATTAACTATGAACTTTGCAAAATTAGAATATTTAGACTTAAAATCTGGCATGTATCATTTATCTATAATATCAAAATATCACTGAATCTATGTTGATATTAGAAATAACAAGATCCCTGCAGAAGGATTTCTGACATTGCAAGTAGTGATAGTAATTGTGTGACAAATCCCATGTGATCTGTACCTCCTTTTCCACCACAATGGTGAAAAGAATGTCAGAGACTGAAGGTGGAAATTGTTACAATATGCTCTTTTGTTCTCCCAGTTCATGCTTGTCGAGACCCTGGTGCAATTTCTGTCCAAGACAGAGAATATGTAATTTTTATATACTTACAAGAAACGGTAATCTAGAGGGTTCTGACCATCTGTATGTGCAATTTTATTTTTTGTCTTTTTCACAGTCTATTGACCGAGACCAAGATACAAAAAAAATAAGCAGAAACTGAGGTATATGTTTTGGTTTATTCACAAATGTTTGAGTACTAAAATATTCCACTAGTTGGTAAATCTTTGTGTGTGTAGCCATTAATACGCCATTCGTGATGAAGTCTTGTGCAATATATTTTCAATTAGACATAGTTATTGTTTATACAGATAGAAGATCAAATGAATCGGATGGGTCATTAACAAAATTTTGTTTTCGAGAGCATATGTTTAGCTGTCATTACACTGTAGTTAATGTTTTCAACACTTAGAGTGACAAGTGGAAATTAAGCATCAAAGAAAATCCTGCAGCATATTTGAAAGCTTTTGATACTTACTTATTAATTTGTCGTAGTCTACGCCCTTTTGCGAAGAACTTGAAACATTCCATGGGTTGACAACATCACCAGAGTTTTCGTTCATTGTCAATTTAGCAAGTTTTTCTGCGTCTGTAGCCATTTCTTAGTTCTTCTGTTGAGTTGAGAGATGCAATAATTATAATTTTGAAATATTCTATTGTAATCTGTTGACTGTATCTAGGTTTATATCACGTTGACATGTCGTAACGTCTGTACAATATTGCATACAGCTTTCGGTTTCCCGTCTGGTGTCCTCCCGGCACATGGATTGCATCACCAAGTGTGTTGCAACGTGATCGCTGATTGGTCGGAATATCGATATTCTGTGCGGAATTGCAAGATGGCAGCGCCCATTGGAAAAAAAATTAGTTGAGAAACGAGTGATTCGGGATTACAGCTTTAAATGCTGATATCATATAATGACTTTTTTCTTAACGCAGCATAAGTTATGAATGCCCTTCTAGATTATGAAAGCGATAGCAGTGGTGACGGTAAGGAAAAATTGGACCAGGATGAAGGGAAACAGATTAAACCTGCTAGTGAAAACAATTTCTTCAACCTGAACAAAATGGTTGAATCTGATGATGATGAACCAAAAACTAAACATTTCAAAAAACAATTGACGACGTCATTTGGTGTAACTGTCGAAGTACCTTCCGAACAATTCTGGGAATCTGTTTCTTGTGATGACATCAAATTTGTCAAGAAAGAAAGGACAGAACCACGGTCGGTTCATAATTATGATGAAAGAGCCCGTAATGTTCGTGTTAATAAACGTGCTTTCGAACCTTACAGAAGCGAGAACTACAGTGAAAGGGCAATCTCTGATAGCAAGTTACATGTGGGAAATGCTTCGCCGCGGCACAAATATTCCCCTGTTGTCTCAACTGTTAGTAGAGTTAATTACGAACAAAAAGGTATTCCAGAATATGAACAAATTGAAGATAAAAGTTCCAAATGTCAAATAAACAATAGGAGATTGTTTTACCCGCATTCAAAAATAAATGTTCATCTGCATAGAAAACCTCTCTCCAGAATACCAAGAAACAGTGAGATAAATATTAAAGGTCACTCAGGGCCAGTGAACAGAATGAAATGGAACGTGGCAATGTACAGTCATTTATTGTTGTCTGTTGCTATGGATGGCAGGATGAAGGTGTGGAACATCTGGTCCACTCTTGATCCTTGTGTTCAATCACTGAATGTTCACACAAAGGCAGTGAAAGATGCGTGTTGGAGTCACTCTGGCAAAGAAACTGTTTCCTGTGGATATGATAAAGTGGCAATCCTATGTGATGTTGATCAAGGTATACATTTCCTAAGAAAATCTTGATCTGCTAATCAATTAATCAGACATAAAAGGACTGTGTTTTCATAGCGAAATATATATAAAAAAAAAAAATTTATGTTGACCATTGCAGTAACGCAAGAAAAAAAGTACATGGTCGTGTATCCACAATACTCCTCAGATTTTACTTACCAACTCAATATTTTGTTCAAATTAGAAACTTTCTTATTTAGGAAGTCAGCAGAATTGAAAATATGGAGAAAGAAAAAAAATGAAAAGGATTGTATTATATAGAAATTATAGCCATAATGTATGAATTAACAATTAATATTTTTTTCACCCAAAGGTAAACAATTGACAAAATTTCAGCATGAAAGCTATGTAAATTGTGTAAAGTGTCACCCAGATAATTCCAACCTATTTGTGTCGGGATCCTACAACATACTTCAGGCTTGGGACAGAAGAACACCTGACAGACCTATCCGTGAGTTTGTCTACAAGGACAACACTGGACAGGTAGAGGATCAGCACTAGCCTTGATTTATTTATAAGTTAGGGGAAAGTAGTTGATGAATTGTAAAAACAGGTATTTTTTGTATGTATAGGAAATGCAATAGTAACTGGTAAATCAACATATTATGGTATATAGAATGTAAATTCAACAAAGCAAGCAGTTGCAAAAATAAAAATGATCAGTTGTGCCAGTTTTTGTTCAGTTTGTTTAACTACTGGTTATGATACAAATAATATCTTAACTGGTTTTTATTTCAAGGGAAAGTGTGGTTTTGGCATTAGACATGTCCAAAATACTGCTTATATATAACAGTAGTTACAATATTATACATGCCATGAACATTATTTATGTAACTATGTAAATTTATAAATAAATATCTTTATTACGCAAAGTCCTTTACTGTGCATTTATTTTATGTACCAGGGTATATATTTTTTTATTTGTAGGTACAAGATGTGATATTTTCAGTTGATGGAAAAAGCCTGTTCTGTTGCTGTGATATACTGAGTCGTGACTCTGCTGATAGGAATATCATGGCTTGGGATTTCAGTAGTGGAGTAGTTCTCTCTAACCAGATATACCAGGTAAAAGTTTACTATTATAAACTGGTGAATAAGCTAAATTCTAATCAAATGGATATGCCAGATGATAGTTACCTCCCTTTGTTTCCTATGATGAAATAGGAAATCAGCCAATAGATATGCCATGTAACATATGTTGTGCTGACATGGCATATCCATTTGCTGGTTCCCCAAAATTACTTGATGGATATGCCAGACCAGAATTATCTCCCTTTGTTTCCTTTGATAGCCCAGGGAATAGTCCCCTATCAATCCAATAGACATACAATACAACAGTAACCTCTCTTTGTTTCATATGATAAACAAGAAAATAGTCCCTTTTGGCCCAATAACAACAATAGCCTCCCTTTGTTTCATATGATAAACAAGAAAATAGTCCCTTTTGGTGATTAACCAGAGAATAGCCCTGTCTACCAGATAGCAGAATTCCCCCTTTGTTTCTGATAATAAAGCAGGAAATAGCCCCCTGTCAGTCAATAGTATGCCGAACAACTGAAGTCTCCTGTTCTTTCCAAGTATAATAACTCTATGATACATAATAGTATAGTCCCCTGTCAGTCAATATACAATGAATATGTCAGACAACAGTAGCTTCCCTTTGTTTCCTGGATTATTAAATCTAGGATATGATAAAGCATGGAATAGTCCTATGTTAGTAAATAGATATGCCTAGTTTAGCTTGATAAATAAGTTAAAACATTATGGATGACCTATTTAATGTATATATTGTCAATGGAAAATGATTTTCTCTTGAATATTTTATATACATATGGCCATTAATTAATTAATTTCATTAAAGCAAAGCTGCCTATCATTTAGCAATGTTTTTTCTTTCCAGGAACGATACAGCTGTACCAGGCTCCAGCTACATCCAACACAAAGTCACTTCCTGGCTCAAACCAATGGAGATTATATAGCCATCTTTTCCACAAACAAACCCTTCAAACTCAACAAAGCTAAGCGATTTCAGGGTCATAAGGTAAACCTTCTCTTATATTATTCAATGTTTTTTGTGGTCAAGCAAATTCTTTGGTTCATAGTAATAACATATTTTAATTGACCTATTTGAATATAGAGTATGTGGAGATGTTAATATTTCTTAGGGAGATAACTCTAATCAAGGTTTTAACTAATGGTCCCATTTCTGTGGAGATGTTGGAACAGATAACACATCGACTGCACCACACTTAAGGGGCATTCCATTGTTTGAATTCCAAAAATAAGCTATGCTATCTTTTTTTTCAAATTTATACATAAAGAGAAGTACTATGTAGTGTACTGTGTATCCTATTTCTGTTTCAGGGGTATTGCTATTGGTATACTGTGTCCCCTACTTCTGTTACAGGGGTATTGCTATGTGGTGTACTGTGTATCCTACTTCTGTTATAGGGGTATTACTATGTGGTGTACTGTGTCCCCTACTTCTGTTACAGGGGTATTGCTATGTGGTGTACTGTGTACCCTACTTCTGTTACAGGGGTATTGCTATGTGGTGTACTGTGTATCCTACTTCTGTTACAGGGGTATTGCTATGTGATGTACTGTGTATCCTACTTCTGTTACAGGGGTATTGCTATGTGGTGTACTGTGTATCCTACTTCTGTTACAGGGGTATTGCTATGTGGTGTACTGTGTTCCCTACTTCTGTTCTGTTACACTATGTGGTGTACTGTGTATCTATTCTGTTACAGGGGTATTGCTATGTGGTGTACCCTGTACCTTCTGTTACAGGGGTATTGCTATGTGGTGTACTGTGTTCCCTACTTCTGTTACAGGGGTATTGCTATGTGGTGTACTGTGTATCCTACTTCTGTTACAGGGGTATTGCTATGTGGTGTACTGTGTATCCTACTTCTGTTACAGGGGTATTGCTATGTGGTGTACTGTGTTCCCTACTTCTGTTACAGGGGTATTGCTATGTGGTGTACTGTTCCCTACTTCTGTTACAGGGGTATTGCTATGTGGTGTACTGTGTCCCCTACTTCTGTTACAGGGGTATTGCTATGTGGTGTACTGTGTTCCCTACTTCTGTTACAGGGGTATTGCTATGTGGTGTACTGTTACTATTGCTATGTGGTGTACTGTGTATCCTACTTCTGTTACAGGGGTATTGCTATGTGGTGTACTGTTCCCTACTTCTGTTACAGGGGTATTGCTATGTGGTGTACTGTGTCCCCTACTTCTGTTACAGGGGTATTGCTATGTGGTGTACTGTTCCCTACTTCTGTTACAGGGGTATTGCTATGTGGTGTACTGTGTCCCCTACTTCTGTTACAGGGGTATTGCTATGTGGTGTACTGTTCCCTACTTCTGTTACAGGGGTATTGCTATGTGGTGTACTGTGTCCCCTACTTCTGTTACAGGGGTATTGCTATGTGGTGTACTGTGTATCCTATTTCTGTTTCAGGGGTATTGCTATTGGTATACTGTGTCCCCTACTTCTGTTACAGGGGTATTGCTATGTGGTGTACTGTGTTCCCTACTTCTGTTACAGGGGTATTGCTATGTGGTGTACTGTGTCCCCTACTTCTGTTACAGGGGTATTGCTATGTGGTGTACTGTGTCCCCTACTTCTGTTACAGGGGTATTGCTATGTGGTGTACTGTGTCCCCTACTTCTGTTACAGGGGTATTGCTATGTGGTGTACTGTGTATCCTACTTCTGTTACAGGGGTATTGCTATGTGGTGTACTGTGTCCCCTACTTCTGTTACAGGGGTATTGCTATGTGGTGTACTGTGTATCCTACTTCTGTTACAGGGGTATTGCTATGTGGTGTACTGTGTCCCCTACTTCTGTTACAGGGGTAGGGGTATTGCTATGTGGTGTACTGTGTCCTACTGTGTATCCCTTCTGTTACTTTGCTGTGGTGTACTGTGTCCCCTACTTCTGTTACAGGGGTATTGCTATGTGGTGTACTGTTCCCTACTTCTGTTACAGGGGTATTGCTATGTGGTGTACTGTGTCCCCTACTTCTGTTACAGGGGTATTGCTATGTGGTGTACTGTGTATCCTACTTCTGTTACAGGGGTATTGCTATGTGGTGTACTGTGTATCCTACTTCTGTTACAGGGGTATTGCTATGTGGTGTACTGTGTATCCTACTTCTGTTACAGGGGTATTGCTATGTGGTGTACTGTGTATCCTACTTCTGTTACAGGGGTATTGCTATGTGGTGTACTGTGTATCCTACTTCTGTTACAGGGGTATTGCTATGTGGTGTACTGTGTATCCTACTTCTGTTACAGGGGTATTGCTATGTGGTGTACTGTGTATCCTACTTCTGTTACAGGGGTATTGCTATGTGGTGTACTGTGTATTGCCTGTGTATCCTACTTCTGTTACAGGGGTATTGCTATGTGGTGTACTGTGTATCCCTACTTCTGTTACAGGGGTATTGCTATGTGGTGTACTGTACAGGGGTATTGCTATGTGGTGTACTGTGTATCCTACTTCTGTTACAGGGGTATTGCTATGTGGTGTACTGTGTATCCCTACTTCTGTTACAGGGGTATTGCTATGTGGTGTATGTGTTACTATGTGGTGTACTGTGTCCCCTACCTCTGTTACAGGGGTATTGCTATGTGGTGTACTGTGTACCCTACTTCTGTTACAGGGGTATTGCTATGTGGTGTACTGTGTCCCCTACCTCTGTTACAGGGGTATTGCTATTGGTATACTGTGTCCCCTACCTCTGTTACAGGGGTATTGCTATGTGGTGTACTGTGTCCCCTACTTCTGTTACAGGGGTATTGCTATGTGGTGTACTGTGTATCCTACTTCTGTTACAGGGGTATTGCTATGTGGTGTACTGTGTATCCTACTTCTGTTACAGGGGTATTGCTATGTGGTGTACTGTACACTAACAATCTTACACGGGGATTGCTATGTGGTGTACTGTGTATCCTACTTCTGTTACAGGGGTATTGCTATGTGGTGTACTGTGTCCCTACTTCTGTTACAGTATTGCTATGTGGTGTACTGTGTATCCTACTTCTGTTACAGTTGCTATGTGGTGTACTGTGTCCCTACTTCCTTTCTGTTACAGGGGTATTGCTATGTGGTGTACTGTGTCCCCTACTTCTGTTACAGGGGTATTGCTATGTGGTGTACTGTGTACCCTACTTCTGTTACAGGGGTATTGCTATGTGGTGTACTGTGTTCCCTACTTTGTTACAGGGGTATTGCTATGTGGTGTACTGTGTATCCTACTTCTGTTACAGGGGTATTGCTATGTGATGTACTGTGTATCCTATTTCTGTTTCTATTGCTATGTGGTGTACTGTGTAGGGGTATTGCTATGTGGTGTACTGTGTATCCTACTTCTGTTACAGGGGTATTGCTATGTGGTGTACTGTGTATCCTACTTCTGTTACAGGGGTATTGCTATGTGGTGTACTGTTCCCTACTTCTGTTACAGGGGTATTGCTATGTGGTGTACTGTGTATCCTACTTCTGTTACAGGGGTATTGCTATGTGGTGTACTGTGTATCCTACTTCTGTTACAGGGGTATTGCTATGTGGTGTACTGTGTCCTACTTCTGTTACTTCTGTTACAGGGGTATTGCTATGTGGTGTACTGTGTCCCCTACTTCTGTTACAGGGGTATTGCTATGTGGTGTACTGTGTCCCCTACTTCTGTTACAGGGGTATTGCTATGTGGTGTACTGTTCCCTACTTCTGTTACAGGGGTATTGCTATGTGGTGTACTGTGTATCCTACTTCTGTTACAGGGGTATTGCTATGTGGTGTACTGTGTCCCCTACTTCTGTTACAGGGGTATTGCTATGTGGTGTACTGTGTATCCTACTTCTGTTACAGGGGTATTGCTATGTGGTGTACTGTGTCCCCTACTTCTGTTACAGGGGTATTGCTATGTGGTGTACTGTGTCCCCTACTTCTGTTACAGGGGTATTGCTATGTGGTGTACTGTGTCCCCTACTTCTGTTACAGGGGTATTGCTATGTGGTGTACTGTTCCCTACTTCTGTTACAGGGGTATTGCTATGTGGTGTACTGTGTATCCTACTTCTGTTACAGGGGTATTGCTATGTGGTGTACTGTGTACCCTACTTCTGTTACAGGGGTATTGCTATGTGGTGTACTGTGTATCCTACTTCTGTTACAGGGGTATTGCTATGTGGTGTACTGTGTCCCCTACTTCTGTTACAGGGGTATTGCTATGTGGTGTACTGTGTACCCTACTTCTGTTACAGGGGTATTGCTATGTGGTGTACTGTGTATCCTACTTCTGTTACAGGGGTATTGCTATGTGGTGTACTGTGTCCCCTACTTCTGTTACAGGGGTATTGCTATGTGGTGTACTGTGTATCCTACTTCTGTTACAGGGGTATTGCTATGTGGTGTACTGTGTACCCTACTTCTGTTACAGGGGTATTGCTATGTGGTGTACTGTGTCCCCTACTTCTGTTACAGGGGTATTGCTATGTGGTGTACTGTTTATCCTACTTGTGTTACAGGGGTATTGCTATGTGGTGTACTGTGTATCCTACTTCTGTTACAGGGGTATTGCTATGTGGTGTACTGTGTATCCTACTTCTGTTACAGGGGTATTGCTATGTGGTGTACTGTGTATTTTACTTTTGTTTCAGGGTAATGGCTATGTGGTAGGATTTGATTTGTCAGTAGATGGGTCACATGTGGTCAGTGGCAGTGCTGATGGCAACGTTTACTTTTACAATTACAACACTGGGCATGTTCTTCAAACACTGACCACTGGTCTGGATGTATGTACTGATGTGGCTGTACATCCTGTATTGCCCAGTACTGTGGCTTGTTGTGGCTGGAATGGACACATACAGGTATGGAGTTGACCCTTACTGTCCAGTATTCTGTCAGCGCTATACAGGAATAGAAATGAGTCTTACCACACAGTACTCAAACAGAGAGTTGATATATGTAGTAAGAGGATTGAAATTAACATATACTGTCCAGTACTTGAACACCATGTTGGTGCAACTTTCAGCTATGGATATGTTTGAGATGGCTGGAATGGACACCTACAGTATGGAGACGACCCTTACTGTCCATTACTTCAACTCAGTGTTGCTAAAACCTTCACTTAACGTGTGGTGTTTAGGTAGTATCCTTCATAAACGATGATATTGTATCCAATTACATTTACAAGTATCTTGGAAAAGTAAACTCACTAAAGAGGCAAACCAGTTGAATTGAAAACAAGAAATAATAAGTTAGGTGTTGTTTCTATAATGTAATGTCAACAGCTCCTGAGGAGACAACTTGTTGCTGTTACCTATTTCAAGTATTTTATTTGAATTCTCATATCAGTAGCACAGCCGCTGATTACCGGCTTGATATTCTGTAACATGTCGTTCTGAACATCACCTCAGATGAGAATTTGATACAGAAGCCCAGTTGACTGACACAGATATACCTGGTATGTAATATTAGTTGGTGTACACTGTAACACAGATGCAATGTTCACAAAAATAAAACTCCAATTCAGAATAAGATATGAATGAATTTTTTTATTGATGAATGTTGGAAAAAGCATAAAAACACAATACCCATCAACATGAAACAAAATAGACTGTGTAGCACTAATTGTAGATCTGGTGAGTTTGTCTTTGTATACAAATAAATATTTCAACAAAATGTACTCTCATAAAATAAAATGTACGATAAGCAAAAACAAGTTGAGTTTTAACCCAATAAAATCAATAACAATAAATACATGTCTTCAAACAAAATATCAGATAATATTTCATGTTAGCAACAACACTGACTACTTCTTGATAACAAGGGCTTCAAACAGAACATTTTTGTTCCTTAGTGGTAACACTGCTGTGAGTTCAGATGTTCATATATACAGATGCATGAATATGCAAAGAATACACTTTAAAACTGGACTTCACTATCTGTTGTCATTGGTGGGAGGGGGTCAACAAAACACAACATAGGATTTTAGAAAAATGATTGTTGATACACAGGAGGCTCCATACATAGTACTCCACTGAACACATATCCTGATTCAACAGACAAGATAATTGTGTGGAATTGTATGTCATGAATCATTCACTGCTCCTGATTACAGAAATCAACAAAGTCCTAAATGCTGAAAGGATGGAGTAATTAGCCAGAGAATGCTTCAAAAACAGTGAATAATTGAAAATATCCTGTACTGGAGATACACTACAAAACATTCTGTCTATATCACGTATATCAGAGACACACAACAAAGGGGCATTTGTATAATGATAAAGCATTTTATCTTAACATCTTGTAACACAATACATTTACAGTAAAACTCCACTACTCCTATCAGTCAAACTGGCCATGTCCTTATATTGATATATTTCGAGTTATTTAACCTCAGATTCCTCGAATACCCCATGCATTTCTCTTCATATTCCTAGTATTTGCCCCTCTATTTGTTGAACAGGTGTCATGATGGTTGCGATCACTCCCGTGTTTAGATTGCATGCCAGCACTGCTGTCTGTTACATAATTTGATTGTTTTATCAGGATATTTCTAATAAATTTTGCTTTTATTCAACATGAAAGTAAATTTGTTCAAAGTCTTTAAGCCAATTTTCAGAATGCTGCATAGCGGGAGGGTATGAGTGAGTAAAGGTGATTCTTCACATTACGTTTAATACTTTATCAACTGTGAAAGTTAAAATACACACATTGTTTGCATCTTTACTATCATTCCCAAAATTCAACTCACCAGAGATGAAAGCATGGTGGGTAAATTAAATCTATACGTAACAGTTTTTAAGTTTTCCTTTGCGATTTGATGACAGTATGTATTAATTATTCATCAGTTTATGTCCAATGCTGTAGATCTTTCCTCCTCTTCTTTTTTACACTAAGCTTAAGAAACAATAATTTCTAACGACATGTTTTCTGCAGAATGTAGGCTGGTGTCATGTTACCATTTCTATACATTTTACTCTATTAAAAGTTTGGACAAGTCAATTAAATATTAATAATCACAGACTTGATTGGTCAGAGGATTGTGCATTGAACATTTCATTCACGGATAGTCGGTGCCTAACTATCTATGACTAACCTCTGATTACTCTCATATCCTGTATTCCCCAACAATGTCCCCAGTTGGATTTATTGGAGTTTTATTTATGTAAATTATCACACTAATAGGTATATTGTATCTGGTTATATACTGATAATCTTGAATAAAAAGCATGTACTTGGATAGGGGCTTTCATTTCAACCAACAAACAAAATATCTGTATCTTACTTTATCAGAATCTTAGACTTAATGTTGGACACGACTTCAAAATCTGTAAGTGATCCAGTCCCTGTTGATGTCTGTAAACAGAACCAAATGATAAAACCATGTCGATTTGTGATGGGAATAGTAAACCATTTGGTCTGTTCTGGTCCCAGATTCCATGATCATTGTGACAACATTTTATCAAATTCAGTCTTGATTCAAATGATTTGTGACGAAGATCGGTAACAACTGATGTAAATTCAGTGTTGAAGGGCTAAATAATTTTTTTTTAATTTTACAGTTTAGAGTATATCTAAATGTCCTGATTTGGGTTTTCAAAACCATCAATTGGAAGACTGCAGAACATCACCTACAATACGAAACACCAGGAAGTCTTATCAAGGGCCTGGGAAATTTCAACAATTGGGATTAGCATTGCTAAGAAGGTTATCATTATTGACATTGTTAATCTTACAAGAGGCCCATGGGCCTGAAATGTCACCTGAGTGATCTCACAAACAGAAACAGTTGCTCTCTTTCCAACAGAAAATATAAAAATTATGCAAAAAAAAAAAAAAAATGTGATTTTGCTATAGTTAACTATAACCTCTTCCTTGGGGAAATGTGAGACTGCGGTCATGAAATTCACCATTTTGGTTAAGTATCTTAAGACCAGTTCATCAATGAAGAGTATTTGATACTACCACATGTGGGTATTGAGAAATATTTCTTAAATTTCAGTCAATTTGATCCCTCAGGCCATGGGAAGGTTTCTGCCGAGTTTCACTGAGATCGATTCTGGGGTTTTCCAGAAGTCAAAACTGTAAAATTTTAAGGACTTATGACAGACACTGAACAAATAGGTCACCCTGAGACTTGATCTCTGGTGACCTTAAATTGATCTGGTACAATTAAAACCACAAGACTAAGCTAAACATTCAAGGCAGATGCAGAAAAAAAATGAATGACAGATCCACTAAATCTCTTCATTCCAAGTGCAGCTTGCCCAATCATGTTTGCATGATAAAATCTAACTGAATATGCGTGTGTGTACATGTATCTCACTAGAATAGATAATTAAGAATATTTACCTCATAACATGAAATAAGTTACTTTTGTTTACAATTAATTATGTTAGATAGATGTAACATTTCTATAAATTACAATGTTCATCAGACACATTTATTGGACATTAATATCACCATGATATATAGCTATGAAGTGAAAAAAACAGTGCTATTTTATTGTAGTATCTGTAATTAGCCCTGAATACAACAGCATAAATGATGCTAGGTATTAATGAAATAACACCTTATTTACCTGAAAGAAAAATATACAATGTAAGTTGGGGTTTGCCAAACCACTGCTAAAGGGAGATAATTCACTCTTATATGGTTTATGTTTATGTCTTACAAAAATGTTAATTAGACTGCTAAAACCTGAAAACTTGATCCAATCAACATGTGCCCTGGTCTTACATCCTTTGTGAGCATATTCTTTGTAAATATACATATTCTATATCTAAACATTTTCTTATAGGTTTTATGACTTCCACATTAACAACAAATTTATACTATAATACTTGTGTGTTATGTTGCATACTTATTTTATTTTTCCACTTTTTGACGTTCCCCTGTAATATAGCACACCCATTCTATTCTAGGCAGCTTTCAGTGTAATAGAGGAGTTAGTGCGTAGGACAAATATGTTAGATAAAACATGAGAGACACAAACAATGGAGTAATGGACACAACACAGATTACTGAACAATATACCCCATAGACAAAGGAAATTAATGCTATTTATGATGAATACAGGAAAAGTAACTACACACACACATATGTATGATGAATACAGGAAAAGTAACTACACACACACACATATGTATGATGAATACAGGAAAAGTAACTACACACACACACATGAATGATGAATACAGGAAAGTAACTACACACACACATATGTATGATGAATACAGGAAAGTAACTACACACACACATATGTATGATGAATACAGGAAAAGTAACTACACACACACACATGAATGATGAATATAGGAAAGTAACTACACACACCCATATATATGATGAATACAGGAAAAGTAACTACACACACCCATGCAAAGAGGTGACAAACTGTCTGAAACATACTGACATGAACAATGAACCTGAAAAGAAATGTACATATATCAGTAAAACAATGGATACCTGAGTGTATGTACCACTCCAAACATAAGTAATATCATTCAATGGTTTGAATATATCTCATTACAACAAAAACAAGAGGTCCATTGGACCTGTATCACTCACTTTGATCTTCAAGCCGAGCAATGGTATAGTTTGAGTATTTCAAATATCCAAACTAAAGCTCAGTCACTTAACCTCTTTGATTGGGCAAGACCAATGGGTAAATTCTTATGTCAAGACTGTCTTTCTCTTTTGATGCCCAATAAGAGTTTAAATGGTTATCAGGTTGGTATCTCAATTATCTCAAAATGTGTTCCAACTGTCTCAAAGGTATTACCAAGAAAGTGAGTCCCTAGAAGTGGGGGCAGGCCCCAAGGCAAATTCTTACATCATGATTGAGTTTATCTTTTGATGACCATTGTTATCTATGGTGATTGGGTTGGGATCTCAACAAGAAGGATAGATTTTTAGGAAATTGGTAGCTTTTCCCTATTTTGCCTCACATGTCTTGCCCCAGAGGGCTGAGACCCACCATTTACACAAAATTGGTTTCCCTTCCCCCAAGGATGCTGCAGACAACATTTGATTAGAGTCAGCTCAGTCGTTCATGACTAATGGCAATTTATAGGAAAATTACAGACAGATGATGCAGTATCCCCATTGATAACTTGGCCCTGCAGGCAAGGTGAGCTAAAAACAGGAAATCAAATGCAAGTAAATTTTGTATAGGTAATATCTCCATCTCCATCATTATTGATATATTATTTTATTTTCCATTTTGTAATTGTTATTGTCACCTTTAGTATAGATTAAGAAAACAAATTTAAAAGTAATAAAAAAGAAAGAAAACAAGAAGCTATGGCACAAATTAAAATGAAAGGGACAGAAATTGTATGATGACAATTACATTCACAGAGATAATAAATGAATCATTTAACTTAAATACCACATCACAATATCAATTAATGTGCATCTATAAAAACTTAAGTACACACTGCCATTTATTTTAATATATACTTTTTTTTCTTTATAAGTTTAAGCTGTAGAAGTCTGTTCTGAAATAGGTACAAGAAATAGTTAAGCGATGACTGTATTATTACATGGTACTTCAGTCCCGTAACTCCCTTTGTAATTGCCAATAAATCCCTTGATGTTAGTTTGACAGACTTAAACATATGATTCATTATTAATATTTACATTCTAACAAAGTAATTGTGACTAAATCACTTTTCCATTTTTTGAAGTTCTTGGATCAGGAGAGCATGTGTCATCACAATAAAACTAATAACGTTACAAGGGTGGTTACATGACCAGATATTAAAGTCTCACAATGCCTGCTTCATTCTGTGTACATTTAAATGGGTGGAAGCGAAGATAATGTTAATATCAGGCCTGGAATGTTTTATCACTAGTGTTTAGTCACACCATCATATTGAGAACATTTCTCTGACTCCAGAGAGAGTGACAACACCAGAAAAGATGTGACGATGGAAACTGAACTGGTAGGGCTATTAGTGATAATGAAATACAATTCACCTCAATTACAGGGGAACAGCTAAAAAGAATTCCAATTACAGGAGGAAACTACTCATTAAAGTTACAGAATGGGACAAGGCAGTCTTTTTAAAGGTATTATAGGAGTATGTCTCAAAATCAAGAAGATTAATCATGACTATTGCACTGAAAATACTGTCTTCTTGTAAATATCAAGTTAACAAGTGATTAATAATGACAATACATGCACATTGTTTCAGGAAAAGCTTATGTGCATCTCAGTGATTTCCAATGTACATATACATCAAGGAAGGTTTTTTATCATAAGAATACTGAACACACAGATCATGAAAAAGTAACTGTTTATAAAATGGTACATAAGGACAGGAAATTTAAAGTTACATCATTTGTGGTGACCAATGGGAAGACTTAATACTAACCTTCCCATTAATTACTGAAGCATTCCATCCACAAAATTGGGTTTTAGAGTTGAAGCCAATTCTGTGATTGGGATCAAGTAAACAAAATTAAATTGCCAGATTTTGTCTGATTTTGGAGTAAACCACTTTAATAGCAGTGAATATTAGTATGTTAATAACACCCATAATGCCACTGTGGGCTGTGACTAGTGCTAGCGTTACAAATTAGCAAGAAGATACACAGATACCAGTATCCATGACATGTGAACCTAACATTAAAATCAGCAATGACTAGAGCAGGTTCTCTTGTACTAAGAAAGGTTTCTTCTCCTTAACACCTGAAGAACATCCTAAATGAACAAATCTTCTTTCGTTCTTTGCATAGAAGAATTAAGCTCTCTTTAAATGAAATTTCCGTATGTTATGTCAACAGGGAATCTTAATACAAATAACAACCAGTTCATGCACTGTTCAATCCTGGATTTCACAAACTTCAGCGTGCATGAAACTATAAAATAAGTATTTTCAGAGATAGTGATAATACTTCTTGACAAGAAATACGATTTACAAACAGGAAACATGTACATGATTGTACATATAATGCATTTAAAGGTCACCTTAATATTAATGACAGTAATAATTATTGTAATTAACAATTCTATACACCTGATGAGCAGTTTACAAATGTGTCACATTCCTCTTGCCAAAGCGTGCAGATTACCAGTAATTTATATTAAAGGCTGCCATTTAACATAATAAATCCAAATAACAGTATCAGACCAAATCCAATACAGAAGCCAAGGTTAATTAAATCTCCCCTCATCTCCATTATTAATTTGGTCCAATTCCTTATTACAAACAGGTCTTTTGATAACACATCAAAGGCAATGATGACCTTCCATTAATACCACGATGGACATAAATATTACAGAGTATTTGTCATGTATTCACTTCTTTACTCCAAATCATCCTCCAAATAATGATTGAAGAATTCAAAATAAAAGCTTGCTACCAAAAAATATACATTTTAATATTTGGAATGTAAAAAATCAGACTTGAACAACTCATGATATAATTCAAAAGTAAATAGGTGCAGGTTAAGACAACAAACCTGCAATCATTGTCTGTGTGCTAGATTGGATGTCAATACCATCAGCAGTAGAACAACATTTCTTAATGGCCACACTCTGGCTAACCTTCAATACTTCATAGGGCACAATGTGTATCAATTCAATGTAAAGATCTCTGAACCAGAAACTAGGAGTTAGTAATATATCCATACATTTATCTTCCAAAGTTGTGTCACATTACAATGTACATCTTCTGCCAAAGGGTTCTGATTGGTCAACAACCATTTCACAATTTTCATTCAATGCTATATACTTAAGATATACATGTATCCAGTTACAACTTAAGCCCTGTACAGAATGCAAACCATGAGTAATATTTTCATTATTTTTCAAGCATTTACTTTAAAAGCTGGTGTATTCAGTGTAAAACTTGTACCAAAGTATTCTTCATTGAACAGTAAAAAATATGAATGTGTCAGGCTAGAATTTAGAAAACCCCCCTACTAAATATAATGTTGAGTGAGATTACTGAGCATGCCTAATTGTGACTGTGCGGCATCTGTCGTGCCTTTTTCGTCCCAGCATTCTGCCACTCCTCATGTTCCTGCTTCCATATATTCAAACCCCCAGGGCTCCATATTCCATGTTCCATTGTTCATACTTTGATAATGTATCCACAGGCACACTTTTCCTGATTCGACGAATAGACTCCATGAAGTCACTGTACTTTATACCCCGCACCTGTCACAAAAAATCACTCATCATTAACTCAGGCTAATACAGAAAAAGTCCATCAGTAACTCAGGCTAATACAGAAAAAGTCCATCAGTAACTCAGGCTAATGTGTAATGAATGATAATTTTCAGACAGTACTGACATTAAAATGTATTACTATATCATGTTCTGGTATTACAATACACAAGAAAATAACTTAATTTTCTGTTACATGACACATTCCTGTAGTTGTTTTTATATGACAATTATCAACAAAAGTGATTTCATTGTTCTATATTAGGCCCCATATCCTGACCCAGTTGTAATAAGTTGATATGTGAAGTATCTGTTGTGCATTGCTGGATATAAAGGTGATACACATTGACAAACCTTTTTTGTTTTACATCTCCTTTCCACCCCTGGCACTTCTTTCAATTACTCTGAGCTATACTATTTGTACTTACCTTATTTGCATCCACAGTCTTGACCTCTGTTGCTGACAAGTCTGAAGGAAAGTATGGACAGTGTCAATAAAAGAGTGATGAATTCCTGATAAATATGAATCTTACTTGAGCTTTTCAATATTTTATTTTACAGTATTACCTGAACCAAATATCCGAGATTTAGGAAGGAACTTTGACAATCTGAACTCTTCCAGCTAAACTACATATCTTCCCCACTATCCATTCATATTAGTGTTCTACAGCGTACACTGACAATATTTCCTGATCTAAATCAGGTCAAATTCCACAGAATTTCAACTTTTCAAGAGAGTTTGACCCCCTGAATATAACAAATTGCATCAAATTGATAAAATCTAGCAACCTGTTTAAAACAGACCTAGTTCAATAAGGTCACCACCTCTGGTCCTACCCTTTATTGTTGGAAAATTTTCAGACAAACAGTCATTGTGACAGGTTTTTTTTTTGAGTTTTGCCAAATCTGATATGCCAATAATGTAAACGAAAATTGCAATATGACATTAAATGCATCTAAGACTTTATGCAGCATGAAATTGATACAATAGATTATTGTTAAAGTCCTTACCCCTGATTGGTCCCAGTGCCGCATCTTTAGCCAAGGCATTGAGGTCACTGCCTGAGTATCCTTCAGTCAACCTGTCAAAATAAACAGGTACATATCTATCCATTTACAGGTAACTCTTTTGATATTTTATAAATCATTCTTAATGTAAAAATCTTTGTATAGTTGCAATACTTATTCATGTCAAATGCTAAATAAAATTAAAGATAGAAAGTAAACTTTACTAATACCAAGAGACCTATGACCCTTAACGGTGATCCGACAACTTCATGTCCTTGAACAGTTTTAGAACCTGTCCCTCAGCATTAGGACAGACAGAACAGAATTGATATATCTATACTTACAAATTTTTTATTGTTTCTAAGTTTGAAGGCTTTTAATTTCCAATTAAACAGAATTGATAACAATGTCTGTTGTTGAAGATTAGCATATTTGACCCATGTGATCTTGAATGTAGGTCAAGGTCATTTATTTTAAATAACCATGGTAGCCCTTCATCCCAGCATGCTACTGACCCAATATCATGACCCTGGGCCTTTTGGTTATTGAGAAGAAGTCGAAAATGTAAATTTTCTACAATTCTATGACACACGATCAACAACTCTGGACAAAAAGACAATCGCAATAGGTCACTTGAGTGACCTTAAGTGACCTTAAAACAAAAGTCATCATCAGAATATCCAGAAAAAGGTTAAAGGGTTTTCTTGTCCAGGTTGAAATCTTTACCTTGCCACTTCGGACAGTTCGTCACTGGTCAGTGGGTTACTGTGTTTTGCCAATAGTTGTGTAAGCATTGACTTTCGAGTTTCCTTTCCTGGCATATTCACATACACTCTCTTGGCAAACCGTCTGTGGAAGGCAAAAATTGTATTTTTAAGAGTGTAATAGATACTGTAAGATGGATTTGTGTAGTGTTTACAAGTCAATGACACATACTTAGACAAATACTTATTTTGTCTTAACTTGAATTAATTGACAGTTAGGTTCTAGCAAATACCATATCATCATTTCATTCTGCAAATACTATATCATCATTTCATTATTTTTTATCATGTATTCATCTGTCACATATGTGACCAAAGTTCAATCTTCCATTCAGACTTTCTGCCAACCAAATAGGCAGTTTTCTGCATTTGAATTCTATAATATTACACACACCTCAGGACAGCATCATCCAGTTCCTGTGGTCTGTTTGTTGCCCCCATTATCAACACACGGTCATCTGAACTCCCTGCCACCTATCAAGTTAGAAATATTGTTCCATGTATGTATCATGTGCTCTTCATATAGTCTTACTATCCTTCAGAACAGTAACTTTTTTCAAAGCTTTTAATTTTAGATTGAAGAAAGTTTGGTATCTGTAATTTTTTTTTATGAATCTTTTCTAAGGTTATTTACAGTATTCTTTGGAAAAAAGAGGATGACTGATCAAATGATTGAGTCCTTCCTGTGGTCTGAGGGCCATAATTGTGATAACACAACATCTAGTTTTGATACATCCTTTGTTTGGTTTTCTGATGAACATAAGAGACACGGCTCTGCCAAAAAACTGAATATTAGTCAATACCTACCCCATCAAACTGCACTAAGAATTCTGTCTTCAGACGTCGACTGGCATCATTTTCTCCTTCTCTTCTTTCACAAAGTAACGAATCAATTTCATCTACAACGGTACAAAATATTGCCACTTAAAATTTGCCAACACTTTTCAACACAAAGTAAAATTATTGTTCAATGCTTTTGAAAGATGGGAGATTTTGTAATCAATTCTACAATTGGTAAAGTTTCCGTTTTTGATTTCTAAACTGTTTCACTAACTGAGTACAAGTAATGAACTGTAATACAATACAAAATCAAAGTACTGGAAGTACTGTAAACATAGATTTTTGAGTAAGAAATGTGATAACATGTACCACATATAATCAACACAGCTATCTTTTGCTTCTGATATGTGGTAATTGGCTGTAAATTTATAGAGACATCTTTTATCTGGATTTCTCCACTGAAATTCAACAAGACAATTTGGCGAAATACAGTCCCCCACCTAAACACGAAGTTACATCCATACACCACGTATAAGGCTTCTATGAGGTTGCCTTTTTTTTTTTTGTTTGAAGCGAGCACTTGTAGGGTAAGCTATATTGCTTACCAATACTAGGATATCCAAATATAGATAAGAGACATTAACATTCACGCATGTGTACTAGGCATTGATGAGAGGTTACAGATTAATCTGAGCCTAACACTACAATCATTAGGAGTTTTTTTTTCAACTGTTAAATTGTGCATCACATGAAAGGTTATTTAATATGACACTTGTGGATGCCTGGTATTAAATGCTTATTAAGAAATGTCTGAAATATCAGGAAAACAGAGGTCAAATATGATTGATGGAAATTTGCAGGAATGAGTGGATTTTCTTATAAATTCTCCTTGGCTTTTGAAGTAAGATCTAGGAATATTTATCAATGAAATTTCATTTTGTGAATGAAAACAATGCTCACATGTGTAGTGTTCTACAGACTACCAAGACAATTATAGTATGGCTACTCTGGATTCTAACAAAGGAACATTAATGTTCAATTAAAAACAGATGTAGAACACTTAGTAACCCCTATAAACGATAGCGACAGAAGAAAACTACATTGTCAAAATAATATCTTGATTAGTTGTTTAATGCAAGTGTTTATAACATACCCATGAACACAACAGAAGGCTGAAGTTCCCGTGCCAAGGTAAACATTGTCCTCACCAACTTCTCACCTTCCCCGACCTACAACATCATGGAGTTCTGACATCAGGTTTACTGAATGCATACAACAGGAATCAGATAAAAGGTAACAGACAAGATTTGCCTACATAACAATGGCTTGTTCATCATCTAATAACTTAAATCTATAAATAACAGGAATATTTTGAATATGATAACACCAGACAATAGCTAACAGTTTTCAGGAATCTGTTTCCTTCCAATGCCAGATACCATGATGTTGTCTTATCTAGATTGCTGTCAGGTTATTTGATATTTCTTGAAGCTTGATGTCTTGTTCCATCCACATAGCTGGTTAATTAGCTACAATACCTAGGAAAAGGTGACTTTTGGATTGTCCTTACCCATTTGGATGTGAGACTTGAGGCACTAATGTTGAAGAAAGTAGCATTGGACTCATTTGCTACTGCTTTAGCCTGTAACAGAAAATTCTGTCATCAATTTTTTTTCTTAATGAAGTTTTTCTACAAAAATCACTGTGATACCCGTCTATAGAGGATAGTGTGTGGAATGGACAGGCTTTAGAAATACACAACATGTAAAGCACTTACATACGATGCCAGATCAGTATTTGACTACATGTGCTATACCATATAAAATAATCACATCACTCTTGTTAACGATCTCTAGTGTTGCTGGGTATGGGCATCATCTCTAAACTAACAGAGCCATCAATGACTATCTGGTTTCAAACTCTACTCCTAAAAGAATGCTGCTGAATCCCTGTAAAGCTCACACATAACATTCTCAGCCATCGGCTCTCTCGGCTGTCAAGTTTATTGCTATACCATCCTCTGGATTATCTGATTGAACTCTAATTGGTTGAAACCTCTCTGCCTCCTATTTCTACCCAGAGAGATTTGTTCACAACATTTTGTAACCTAAAGCACCCACTAACTGAGAGAGGCCACCTGACGGAGACTTAATCCAGAAAAAGTGCCAGGACACATCCGAGGTACTGATAGAGTGAAACAAAGGGCAGTAACTCTAGAATATCTGAATGACACATCTGTATTCTCCAAAATCGTTTTTCTGTTCCCTTGGAGGATTAAGCTAAACTTACCAACATGGTTTTACCATTCCCTGGAGGGCCAAACAACAGCAGACCCCTTGCTGGTGCCCGAAGACCAGTAAATAACTGTAACAGACAGGCAGATTTATTGTGTTTGGAGTTCATTTATCAGATTATTCATAAATCAGACTTGTCTTATAACTACTGTCAAATCTGTCAGTGATGTTATATCCAGATTCAGTAAAAATAGTTGAGGAAATAACACTAAGAAGTATGTCAATCTTGAATCTGACCTCAATATTGTGATAATGCAAATATAAAAGCATTCCACTTTCTGCTAACTAGATATTGAAAATAAAAATCTTCAATGTCTAAATAAATCACAAAATGTTTCCTTCAAATAAAAAAAAAACATAACCCTTATTCCCATAATTAAAGGAAGTAAGAAGTGATGTGTGATATTTACATGACTACACTTTCACTATAGCGATATAAATGACCACTTAAAGGTCACCGACAATAAAAATCAAAAGTGAAAAATAGTTAGATAATGTCTGGAAATAGTGATTGGTGTACTGCACGATATACAGGTAGCACTATTTCTACATGTAAACAACTGAGGAAGTTAAAATATCTGGAATTATTTCCCTTTCTGAAAACCAAGGATTCTCATTGGTTGATCATCTGTGATGTTTATTCCACCACCTGACACATATTCATTAGTAATGTCTATGAAGACTGTGTACATTAAATCAGCTATATTTGATATAATAAACATGTCCAGCATCATAAAATGACTAAGAAGTTTACTATCATTGCTGAAGTCAGACTGATTATAAACTACCATATCATATGAGACCCCCACATTCACTACCATCTGGCTGCATTGACATCAGATTTTGGGTGCCAACAACTTCTGAAAGCTACCTGAGAAAGCCAACCATGGACAGATAATCAAATTCATCTGTAGGTGGATGTACTCAGCTAGCATTGTATCAAAAAGTGAAAATCGATTCAGGGTATACTACCTAAGTGATCTCTATGTTAAACTATAGATATCTACAAAAACATTTTGCCAGTGACCTTTTAGCATACTGTATGTACATATAGGTGTAGAGGTTGATAATCCAATGAACAGGTCATTTTTGTCACACTTAACCTTGCGGTAATGCAGTTCAAAATTGGTGAAACAGAACTCAGGAAGTTATTGTAAATGACAAACCCATCTTGAATCTTAAACAGAACTCAGGAAGATATCAAATTATTTAAATAGAATTCTTTCTCCAAGTCCCACTTCAAGTTCAATCAACAAATAAAATGTCAATGAAAAATAAAACCACTATCGACATTCCTGTTGATTAAACATTATGCCAGGGAACCATACCTCTGGTCGTAAGGCTGGCAGTATCACAATTTCATGGAGAGCTTGTTTTGCTGTTTCCTGGCCAGCTGTAAACATAAATCCATATATGTATCAAAGCTTTTCTTGGTTTTCAGAAATTTTAAATTCAAATACATTCTTTGCAGCAGCTATTTGACTGTTTCTGAATATGCAAATGTAATACAAAAATTAAATTGAAATTTTTTTTCCCCATAAATCTAATCTTTATTCATAGAGGTTGTATGCACATTCCTCTGATCCCTGTTTGTTGAATTCCATCCTTGACATACTGACCGATGTCCTTGAACTGCACTGGAGGACCTGTGTCCACAATTTCATTAATGATGGTCTCGGCAAGCTTCTTGTCTATGTTCTTCAACTTAAGGGAAGACAAGTCTTTCTTTGCAGGACGGCCCCCTGGGTTCTTAAAATAGGATTTATAAAAGTTCAATCTCAGACATTAAGTAACCTTTGCAAAGTCTCATTGATGAAACTAATCTCCCATTATCTAGATATATTTTCCAAGAATTTATCCTGCTTTCTCCTTTTAGTGTTTGTTCATCCAAATAGCAAAACATGTAATAACAACTCCATTCAAATGCAATTGTACTCACATCGTCCTGCACATGTATACAATACCCTTACTGGCCAAGCACATATACATCATATATTTTTACAAAATGACTTAAAATGAAATTTAATTTGCTTTTTATTCACTAGAAGAAAAGATATATGAAGCCACAGATCATATCAATATGACTTATTATGAATAAATAAACATATAAAAAATACAACAATAGAGAATTTTTACCTGTTACAGAAAACATTGTATATGCACTCGACTTTCAGCACTTCATTGTCCAAACACTAAATCTGACAAAGTGCCCAATCACAGTCCTTCACTTAACAAGCTGAAAATTAGTTTCTTTCGGAATTGTGGGGATCAGATTTCACCAAAAAAAGTTCATATTGGTTTTACAGTTTCGTTTTTATCGTTCCTGAAGATGATTGCAACCAAGCTAAATGTTCTCATGTTTTGTGTAAACGCGCTACTTTTTTTAACATACAGGTAAGTCACTGCTACAGCATAACCACACTTATTAAGAAGCCAATCTTTAATTGAATAATTGAACTTGCAATTAATCGTAAGTGACCAAGTGTTGTGTGTACGATGGACCAATATGCCTTGTTTTACAATTGAAGGGACTGAAAAATCGCTTCAACTCAACTGAAATTTCGACTCATTGAAATTCGAGTCATCCGAACTAAAATTACAGGTATAGAAGGAAAAAAGCCAAACTTGAAATTTTTTTGATTCAAACAGAATTTCGACTCAAGCGATTTTTAGACAAGTTTCAACTGTACATCATTTATGGGTAATTTAACATAGGTGCAATATCTTTGGGTGGCTTATATCCAGGCATAGGTTTATTGTTGAATATTTTCCAGTACTTTTTACTGTGACTACGGGTCAAGGTCATTTCTTTTTGCAAACTTTCTTAGACTTCATATAAGGAACATATTGGCCAAATATAATGATTCTATGCTTTTCAATATTTCATAAGAAATTGTTGAAACATTTTTGGAAGAAGTCATTTTTAAGGTTTTAACACGTTTGACCTGTGACCTTGAATATGGGTCAAGGTCATTTCTTTTTTGCGACCTTTGTTGGGCTTCATCAAAGGAACTTTCCAGCCATATAAAATGATTCTAGGCCTCCTGGTATTTTGGAAGAAGTCGCTTAAAGTTTTCAACACTTTTGACCTTGAATATGGGTCAAGGTATTTTCTTTTCACAAAATTTGTTAAGCTTCATCAAAAGAACCTTCCAGCCAAATATGATAACTCTATGCCTTTCGGTATTTCAGAAGAAATTGTTTAAAAGTTGACGGATGCAGGACGGATGATGGACAGACGGACAGACACCACGCTATTGCATAAGCTCACTTGGCCCTTTGGGCCAGGTGAGCTAATAATACTGAAATGTGTACCTGCTGTGAGTGCTGCCTTTGGTGCGAGAACTTGCGTGCCGGAGAGGAAGTAGCAGAGGAGGACCCTCCAGTGCTGGCAGGACGACTATTACGAGGGAGGGTGTTGCTCTTGTGTACTGCCAGGGGCTGCTTCATTGGTTTCCACATTTTACAGGATGCTGAATTGGTAACGGTTTAAGGTAACACAAACAATAAAATCTACTGGGAAAAAGTCTAAATATACACATTGAACAAGTATGGTGTATATAATAAGTCAAAGTGGAGATTCAAATTCATGCAAACAAATAACTGTACATAGCTATACAGATAAGTAAGGATAAAATCAACAGTGCAAGAATCACACTACTAACACTTGGTCAACAATCCATCAGCTATAGATGTTTAAAAAGACCATGATATACTCAACAAGAAAGTAAAACAAGCCATGAAATATGAAGGGGGAGACAATTTACACAAATGGTGATTATTTTAATTTCACACAAATTTCATTCATGATATGCACTGGGTAAAATTAGATGTTTCTTTTTTTCCAATAAAATTGCGTATCAAGAGAACTAAAATCAATTCTGTCTGACAGATTCCAACTATTTGTGTACTCAGCTCTGACAAGGATTGACAGAGTCTGTCAAGTTTATGGCATATCAATACCATTTTTCACTCAAATTTGTTTTATGTAAAACTCTGACAATGTTCTATGGCAATAAATCAACAAAAATGGAATACTCGTGTATCTCCTTTCAAAGTCTCTATTTGATATTCATGCAAGATTTGAAAAAAAATTAGAAAACAACTAAAACTAAAATGCTTCAACTCCTATGCAAATTAGAATAATTCTTTGACAAATTTGGGTAATAGAAAAAGTGACCTTCACATTTGGAACTCTTCATCTGAAACATAAACTATTTTAGATTTAAAGTTTGACTAAAATCCCTTGTGAAATGAAGTCCCTACAGTAATGTCAGTTAATTGTTTGGTGATCCAAAATATAATGTACAATGTATAATTGGTGACCTTGACCTTGGAACTCTGAAACACAAATTCATCAAAGACAGTGACATATTGTACTCTCCATTATGTTTATCACAGTCCTGAGGTTGCTGATATCAGTGAGACGACAACGATGTAGAATGGAAAAGGTATTGGTAATACTTGAAGATCCTATGTCCCTATGCTCCACACACTGAAATATGATATTGTGTATTTTTAACTAATTGTTGTATTAACTGTACAACAAAACATATGGAAAGAACAAATCTTAACTCCGCAAATCCTGTACAGATAAATTGTAGTGATCAGAAACAAAATGAAACATTCACACCTAAGGAACTGACTTAAGTATACAATGTACAGTGTGTGGGGCATTGTAAGAACTGTTTAAGGAGGGAAGGGGAAGTGCTTCTCAAGACATGGGAGTTGTAGGAACTGTTTTAGGAGGGAAGGGGAAGTGCTTCTCAAGACACCGGAGTTGTAGGAACTGTTTTAGGAGGGAAGGGGAAGTGCTTCTCAAGACACCGGAGTTGTAGGAACTGTTTTAGGAGGGAAGGGGAAGTGCTTCTCAAGACACCGGAGTTGTAGGAACTGTTTTAGGAGGGAAGTGGAAGTGCGTCTCAAGACATGGGAGTTGTAGGAACTGTTTAAGGAGGGAAGGGGAAGTGCTTCTCAAGACACCGGAGTTGTAGGAACTGTTTTAGGAGGGAAGGGGAAGTGCTTCTCAAGACACCGGAGTTGTAGGAACTGTTTTAGGAGGGAAGTGGAAGTGCGTCTCAAGACATGGGAGTTGTAGGAACTGTTTAAGAAGGGAAGGGGAAGTGCTTCTCAAGACACCGGAGTTGTAGGAACTGTTTTAGGAGGGAACTGGAAGTGCTTCTCAAGGAATGGGAATTGTAGTAACTGATTTAGGAGGGAGGGAAATTGAAACAGAAGAGGCAATTGTCACAGTCCACCAGTGGAATAAAATGAAGAATCTGAACATACAGTTCTTAACCAGGAAAACTAATAAACCAATAAAAACCGCTTCATTGTACACTATGTATGTGTGTAAGTTTATATCATGTACAGAATGTCACACTAAGAATGCACCAATCTGTAAGACATGTATTTTAACATCAATTACCAACAAAACAGGACAAATTTCATACAAGCTGAAATTTATCTGATGGAAGCTTATTGATGCTATTAAAAAACAGATCAATATTATTTAAGTACACATGAAGGAAACTACTGTAACATTTGAACTGATACTACAGAAACTGTGAGCGCCATCGAACCAGTATGTTTTGAGATGGTTGTCACAGTTACTCACACCTAGGTAGACAGATCGATTAAAATCCATTCTGTACTACCACACAGAATTTCATCATCCAATCAGCCAAACATTTAATCACTTCCAGTACCTACTACTAGGATACCTTTTATGTATATAAAAACTTTCAGACCTATATATATACAAGGTACCAATGATCAGCTAACACAATCTTATAGCTGTCAAAACCAACTATTAAACTAAAGCTACTGTACATGCACAAGAAGAAATCTTAAGGCTTTTCATTAACAGGTATTCAATTATTTTTGTGAATATGAATACTCAATATTGCTATGGTGATATCTTCCACCAACACAATCATACTCTGTACTCAAGGGATTCAATGGGTAATTGGGCTTGAGGTTTACCTGTCCACACAAGACCTTCCTATTTATTTTCAACTAAGGTTTTATGCAATTCAATCTTTTCTCTATGTGTTGTTAATTATCAGACTTGGCTTTGTTGACATGGAAGTGACTGGAAGTGACTATTCCATACCTAAAGAAGACCTTAGAAATTTTCTAACAACTTTGGTAATACAACATTATTATAGCTACAGAATCAGATTTATTCCATATTCTAGAAAAAAAATTCATTACTGCTACAAATCCTATAATTTATCAAACTATAATTACTCTGTATCTGAATATGAATACTTATAATCTCTGGAAACATCCACCAAGTAAAATTTGATTGGAAACCTCAATTAATGGAAATATCATTGATTCAAGTGATACTGTGATCAGGCATGCTTGTATTGGGTTTTTGTTATGTTTGGTAAGAATATACTTACAATACAGGGACATTTCCCTGCTTAGTAACGTTAATAAAGCCAGGTGTACTTGGGGTGACTGGATAAAAGCTAGGCTGTATACAGCATGAACATGACTGCACACCTTGTTCAACTACAATCATGCGAATCCTCTGAAAAAGGACTTAAAACTTCCATCCTAAAAGCTTTTGTAGCCTAAGTAGAAATTTAAATCTGGAAAGTGCAAGTGACAGATTTAGTAGTTAAGAATATTGACAACAAATAAACTACCTGTGGGTTCATCTGATTTAGTCTTAATATTGCTTTTGGGTACATCTTTTCCAATAGGTTTCCTGGCACGAACAGTGGATTTTGTGTCTGTGCTGTACTTGGCACAAGGGAAGGGATGTGTTTTTTCCTTGGTTTCTGACATTTCGGACGGACTGGGTAAACATGTAGCACCATCAGTAGGGACGGAAGTTACAGCTAAGGAATGTAGCATCTTATCTACACAAAAAGAAATCACAGTAGGCTACAGAATTGAATGAAAAGAAAACACAACATTTAAAGCAAATAGGGAAAAATGACCTTGACATCTGTTAGCAGTTTTGTTCAAAGTTTTGTCCCATGATAAATGAATCATTCATGAACAAACATTTACCTGGAAACTTCAGCTTTTTCATCAAAATACTGTAAACCAACTTTCCTTCACAAATAATACCAACAAAAGCAAAATTGTGACAATCAATCGCAATGAATTTAAACATAGATAATGAATATTTACCTAATGTTTAGCTTATTCTGGATCGACCTGTATAGTACATACAGCTACAAACATGTTTCATATTTCTGTTTTAAACAAGAGTTCCCATGGGCCTGCATCACTCACCGGGTAATCAACGCTCATCAAATTAATATCACAAACACACTAACATATACACTATTGACATTCAAAGTGGGCACATTCAATCAATTTTAACCAATGTCCACAACAAGAACCTTCTAATACTCCACTCACAACAGTGTTTTTTTTGGCAAACATTGCCAGTCATCCTCCTAGGATCCCATCATCTGAATACCATACTTCTACACCTTATGGTTAGTCAGATATTATCTTTTTAAGGTTTTTACAATTTTGACTCGTGACCATGAACAAAAGTCAAGGGCATTTCTTTTTAAAAACTTTGTCGTGATTCATTCCAAGAACCAGTCACCTGAATATCGTGCCTCTGTGCCTTTTGGTTAGTCAGAAGAAGTCATTCAAATGTTTAAACAAATTTGACTTCTGTGACCTTGAATAAGGGTCAAGGTAATTCCTTCTAGTAAATTTATATGGGATCTATCAGCCAAATACCATGATTCTGTGCCTTTTGGTAAGTCAAAAGAAGTCACTTAAATGTTTAAACAAGTTTGACCTCTGTGACCTTGAATAAGGGTAAATTCTTTTCACAAATTCTGTAAGGTTTCATCCCAGAAACCCACTGGCCAAATACTATGACATATAGGTGGCAAGTTATCGAGAAGAAGTCATTTAAATGAAAAAGCTGATGCAGGCCAGACAGACAGATGGAGGGATGACAGACACTGTGCCACGGCATTAGCTCACCTGGCCCAAAAGGGCCAAGTGACAGATGGATGGATGACAGACACTGTGCCACGGCATTAGCTCACTTGGCCCTTTCGGGCCATGTGAGCTTATTAACAGCAGATTACAATTTATTCACTTGAGTATCCGCCTACAAGCAGTTTGTATTTTGAAGATAAGTAGCAATCTGCAGCATGTTTGAATTCTATGACTCGGTTACCTTTATAAGAAGCCCCACATTCTTTTAAATAACTGATCAGCTTTCACATTAATATCTAAACAAAATATCACCTAATGAATTTTAAAGTTGATTAGACTGGCTTATTGCTCTGGGAATTAAATTATATGCTATTAATAAGGTGGCGAATGTCATTCTGGACTGTTGGTTATAATTGACCAGTGTCCCTCAAGCATCCTCCAGCTCACATGTCATGACCAAATCAACCAAATATGGAGCTCATAATGGGGTTTAAATGAAGAGAATGCACAATGAATATTACTCAGAAAGTTGGTTTACAGTATTTTACACCTGTATGGAACTTTAAGTATACATATGCATAAAAGATTTCAAGTTCATTAACATAAAAATATACGGCTACAATGTGGTGTTGTATGCCCAGACTACAATGTGGTGTTGTATGCCCAGTACATTTGATTTTGACAAATGAGAGTCTTCTCCTGAGTAAAGGAACAATGCCCTTGCATTAAGATTTAAGTACAAAGTCAGATTAAAAGGTTTTTAAGTGTTACTGAAAACAAAGAATGGAGCCAATTAAACAGATATTTGTGATATCATTATCAAGGAAGAATTCCATTACTAATCTCAAATCCTGAAGATTCATTCTCATTTTGATTGGTGTATGGTAAATTCAAATAAACACAAACAAAACAGAAAATTAACCTGATTACAACAAAATTGAATAATATAAGTGATCAATACCAGCATTTTGGTGTTATATTTAGTACCATTTTAACATTGTTGGTTAATACAAATTTGAAATCCTACTCTTAATACATTCTATTACACAAATACTATCCAACCTCTGGGGGCATAAAAGTTATACTTATACAAACATGGTTCCCAATAGATGCTTTTGACCAAATTTGGTCAAAATCTGTTTAGTCGTTCATGACTAGTTGCTATTTTTAGTAAAAAAAACTGACGACATCACAGAAACAGATGTCGATGACAAGATGAGTTGAAAATTCCTTATTTCCCCTATTGCCCCCGCTCCATCCCCTCCTCTTGTCCCAAGGGGTGTAATATCAGTTTATACAGTTGATTTCCATTCAGTCAAGCATGTTTCAGACCAAAATGGTATACCATTTAAGCATTTCTATAGAAGACCATATTAGCAAAAATTGAATTCATCATTTTTTGAAGACTTCAACATTGAACTTTACTCTTCTGTGACTGCATGACCTTGAATTCTAAAAAGATAACTTAACATATATAAATCACATTTAGGAAAAAAAAGGTGGGTATTGTTTGCAACATGATGTAATGTGAACACCTTTATACAAATCTACAGGTGTAGATCATTAAATATTGCTATAAACTGTGCAGGTTGAGAAACAGATAAACTAATGTTAGGTGAATTTTTAACCAACAACAATATCAAGTGTAATGGACATGCATCACCACAACACAACAGATAAGGTAGTACAGGAATTCAGCAATCAAATCTCTATTTCATTGTACATGGGTAAAAATGTTTCATAAATATGTTTAATACAATGGACTCAATAAATGAATTAACAGAAACTGTTTAAAATTATCAGGAATTCTATGATTTCTTTAAAAAAAAATGGCCAACTTAGAGCCAACAAATAAAACAATTATCTGGTCAATGCAGAAAAGTAGTGCTGGACTGAGAAGCAACTCAACATTTTGCCAGAAAAGACAGAATTGCGAGACTTGAAAGGACTTGTTTTTATGAAACCATAAGTGTTCTTTACCAAATCACTTACCAAGGATGTCCAGTCTGTCCTGGGCCATCACCATGTTGGTCATCATCTTCTGCTGTAGTCGACGAGCCTTGTCCCAGTGGTCACCTACAGAATTAAGTAAATTATAAATAACATGTCCCAAGTTTGTATGGTGTTTTACAGACTGACAACTACTTGAGTGATATGAAAACTATGACAGAAAAATACAAGTTACAATGCCACCCCACTCACACCATCTGATACAAGTTACCATGCCACATCAATCACAAGATACCCAACTCACACTATCTGATACAAATTACAATGCCACCCCACTCACACTTTCTGATACAACTTACAATGCCACCTCACTAACACTATCTGATAAAAGTTACAAAGCCACCCCACTCCAAATATCTGATACAAGTTACAATGCCACCTCACTCACACTATCTGATACAAATTACAATGCCACCCCACTCACACTATCTGATACAAGTTACAATGCCACCCCACTCACACCATCTGATACAAGTTACAATGCCACCCCACTCACACTATCTGATACAAATTACAATGCCACCCCACTCACACTATCTGATACAAGTAACAATGCCACCCCACTCACACTATCTGATACAAGTTACAATGCCACCCCACTCACACTATCTGATACAAGTAGCAATGCGACCCCACTCACACTATCTGATACAAGTTACAATGCCACCCACTCACACCATCTGATACAAGTTACAATGCCATATCAATCACAAGATACCCAACTCACACTATCTGATACAAATTACAATGCCATCCCACTCACACTATCTGATACAAGTTACAATGCCACCCTACTCACACTATCTGATACAAGTAACAATGCGACCCCACTCACACTATCTGATACAAGTTACAATGCCACCCCACTCACACTATCTGATACATATTACAATGCCACCCCACTCACACTATCTGATACATGTTACGATGCCACCCCACTCACACTATCTGATAAAAGTTACAATGCCACCCCACTCACACTATCTGATACATGTTACAATGCCACCCCACTCACACTATCTGATACATGTTACAATGCCACCCCACTCACACTATCTGATACAAGTTACAATGCCACCCCACTCACACTATCTGATACATGTTAAAATGCCACCATACTCACACTATCTGATACAAGTTACAATGCCACCCCAATCACACTATCTGATACATGTTACAATGCCACCCCAATCACACTATCTGATACATGTTACAATGCCACCCCACTCACACTATCTGATACAAGTTACAATGCCACCCCACTCACACTATCTGATACATGTTACAATGCCACCATACTCACACTATCTGATACAAGTTACAATGCCACCCCACTCACACTATCTGATACAAGTTATAATGACATCCCACTCAAACTATCTGGTCACATATGTATGCCTCTGAAAGTCTCCGGAAGAAATCTACCTGTCTAACAGTCTGGTAAAATCTAAGGATAGCCATAAACCCAGTGAAAAAAGGGACAATTTTGTCTGAACAAACCAGAAACAATCCATTAAATGTGAATATATTGGGCTTTCTTCCACATGGTCTCATAGAAAGTCAGGAGTAACCTGCACTATTACTACTGTTTTGTAACCAAGCCTTTTCTATATGAATTCAGCACCAAAGCATGATGTTTATAGGGTTATTCAGAGTTTCTCCTCTAAACATTAACTTACAGAGTACTGATGTACATTTTTCTGGCATATTCTCCTCTCTAATGTTAATGTTTATAAAAATTGGACCAAATAAACTCGGTGCATCCAAACAAAAGAGAAAAACAATTCTGTGATGTAATATATGACTTTTTCTGATACAGTGAAATTGGGGCAATGTGTTTGAGTGCATCACAGCTGATATACCACTTCAAATGGATACATAGCAGTCACCTGTTATAGTTATTGGCACATGATAGAAAATTCAAGATGTTACATAACTATCTTATGCTTAGTGACTGGAATTCTGTTTCCTGTCAGTCATTTCGCCTTCAGTGTGTTACAAATATTTATCATAACCAGATTTCCATTAGTAAACATTTGCTGACATTTAGCATACTTAGTGGAAAAGATACAGTTCATCATAAGACATATTCAATGAAACCAGTCCAACAAGGATAATGGCCGACTACCATATACACCACTGACATCAGTGTCAACCAGTTGGCAATGTATACCCTAGGTACTGGAGATCGTTACCACTTTCTACTTCATTTGCTAGCTGTAAACACTAGAACTTAATGTGTTTTCAATAATATCAGCTAAAGGCAGGAAACAAATCAATAGTACAGAGATCCATAGCCCACTCATTTAAACATAAACGTAATTAGATCAGCTGTGAATAAAGAGGGCTGGATGAAGACATGTCTATCAAGAGAGAACCAAATGATAAGATGTACATGGTATAAAGTATCATGTAGCACTCCAGTGAACTTATTACTAACTCAGAGTCTGACCTTGACCTTTATATACATTAACTTAATTACTCTCTATGTATTCTTTTTTGTACGTTTCAGGTTTCCTACTCTTATTTCAAGTCTGAATTCATGGCCTTTTCAAGGTTTTTATTAAGTCATTAAAAGAAATTCAAGGTCATTTTTGCAGCCTCTCTTACCTTGAGTGTTGTCTACATTAGTAACACTTCTCTTAAAGAATGTTAAATATTCCACTTACTGGTGATGTTTGGTGTGTATAGTGATTGAAACATACTTGGATTAATTTCTGTTAAAGCAGTGACATCTCTTATGGAGGTATTGCACTACAATATTTATGTCCATGAGAATTTTTGGTCATATAACCTCATTCATCAATATTGAGTTTGATATGAACTTAAAAGAAATGTTTGTGTCACATATTCATGTACATATTTTGCTTACAGATTCAATATTTCTGACAAATGGTAACTAAAAGTCACCTTAAAATATGGTTTAGATGGAGTGAACGTTTCTATGGTTTTTATCTTGCCTGTATATTTTTTTTCTCCGTGATAAGAACTGAATGTGTTATCATTTTCTAATACTAATATTGTAGAATGCAACACACAATCTTTAGGTATTATACATTTGATCTTGTAATTTGTAATATTGAGCTAAACTTGTTATATTATATAGATTTGAGATATTGTAATAACGGAAAAAAATCTCTGACTTTGAACTTTATATACATCAACAATACCAGTCTGACCTTGATCAACACTGAGAGTATGACACTTACCTTGACCATGGCCAACATTGACAGCAATTCCTTTTTCCAGCTCTGCAATGCCTTTCTTGTACATCTCAATAGCTTGCTCTTTTCTCTCTGGAATGAATTTAACATAAATAAAATATATAGTTTATGATCACTTCAATTTGTACTATTTCCAATTAAAAAGATATCTGATAGGGATCTTTGAGACATTGTTTCATCTCTTCTTGTTTTTTAAAAGTTGGACCTTTTCCAATCTTTCTCTTCACGCCTTTTCTTTTGGCTCTAAATTATGTAAAAAAAAAATTAATTCCTCTGAAGAAATTGTGATAATGTATGGACAAAAGGAAACCTACTTATGAAATTTAGGAAAGATCCATCCAGTACCTCTCCAGAAATAGTGATAACAAACCATGAGTGTCAAAAACCAAAATGGCCACCTGTCAGCCATTTGTTTATTTTCTGATCAGTCCCAAAATGGACTATCCACAACTAGGGGCTTATGGGAACAAGTCTGAAAAGGATCCATCCTACACTTCTCCATAAATATCACTGTCAAAAACAATATGGCCATATCTGTTGTCATTTTATTTTTTCCAATTATTCCCAAAATGGTCTAAATACAACAAGGGACCCAAGCAATCCTACATGTGATGTTTTCGAATAATTCTTCAAAATTTGTTTTCCTGATTGGTCAAAACTGGTAATTCACAAGTAGAGACTAAGGCAGAGCAACATATGATGTTTGAAAGTGATTAATATTCAGTCCCTTTCCAGAAATAGAAATAACAACATGTGACTGTTAAAAATAAGGAAAGTGCCAGTCTTCCATGTTGTTTTTCTGATCAGTCTCAAAATGGATTATGCACACTTAGGGACCAAGGTGAAGATACATGTTAAATTCAGTATGATCCATCCAGTACTTCTCCAGAAATATTGATAACAAGAACTGTTTCAGGATGGACAGATCTTGGGTGATTTGTTTAGCTCACCACCTAGCTAACGATGTCAGGTTAATAAAATTAAATGTCCACGACCAATCATGTGTACATCTCTTCCTTTCTTTCACAGCCTACTCAAGGGTCTACAATGTTGACCTATTCATTTTGCTTTTTTCTATTAGTTTATGACCCTGACAACAGCTATCATAGTTTTGATGCAAGGTTACAATGTAGTAGCTGCACCTCATGTATGTAATGTGGTCAGAATGCCAATCTCAAGCTCTTCAGAGCATCTGGGTTAAGTGTCTTGACCATTGGATACAACCTTCAAAGCAAAGGGTGGTCTGTAACCTCAACTTCCTGAGAAACACAAATCACCCAGTATGGTAAAACGACACTTGTAATATCTGCCTAGTAAGCTTGAAATAATGTGGGTGTTTGCCTCTTGTATAACTTCAAGTCACTACAGACATTACACTATTGTTGGCACTTTTCCTGTTGTTTGCTGGGAGGTTTACAGAAAATCAGCCAATCTGACCTCTTCTGATGCTTCCCAAAGACTTTGCAGAGTCATATCCCTGTTACTTCAGTTCTGATCCCCAAGGGTTAAATGTGTACATGTTGCCACCACATTCTATTTAATATTTGCTCACATATTTTATCAAAATTGAATTACCCTGTTGTGCACACCAAAATTCAAACATTTTCCTGAAAAAGCCTAATTGTTGCTTTGTCTAGATATTTGTTTCCTATGATGGTTTAGATCATGTTATACAAGGCAGCAGATGGCATTACAATGACAGTGATTCGTTCATAGCTCTATGAACGTAAAAACATAACCTCTTGTTTCCATATTGTTTACCATAATTTTGATGTATTGTCCATAGAGCTGGGATGATACACTAATGGATTAATATATATCAACTGAGTGCCCTTCAATACACATATTAGTGTCTGGTCTTGAGCGACAGTATTCTGATCCACTTAAGTTTCTAATTTTACACAAATGCACATCCAAGTTCTCAATAGGTACAGTGTAAGTGTCACTTGAACATGTCAAAATTTTATAAATCAGTTCATCAGGCCTATCAATAATGTTGGAGGTGTGGAGGCACTTCAGGTTTCCTGTTTATAATGTACGAGACATCAACATAAAAACACTGCCAACAATCACAATGTGTTAATGGAACAACAACCAACATGCAAACGTCATCTACAGCGGTACAACTCTAGTACTGATGATCTCTTAGCAAGTGTAGCTTGGCTGTCATGAAAACTCAGCCAACTATATCAATAACATTCATATATCAGGTACACATACCGAATTTGGAATCAACTCGAAAAATGCCATATGTACCTATATCGATGGGAATGTTGAAGTTCTAGTAATCTCCAATGAAAACAAGGTATCCCTGAGCAAGATGTTCCCAAATAGATGATTGTCCAGGGTTTGTTTTGGAATTTTTAAAATTGATTGAGATTCTTTTTTTGGGAATTTCAAGTCTTTGTGTCAAAATAAAGACACTGATTTAAATTGACATTTTACTTCCAAAGTAATACAAAAATAATAAGCACAATCTTCACATAGTGTGACGCTTTAATCTGATTGGTCCAACTGAACTGTCTAGAAATGGTGATGAAGAGGAATGGATGTACAACTGATGAACAGCTTTTGCTTCCCTATCTGATCTTCAATCTGGGGGGTAATATGCTTTCAAAGCTTTGAAGAATTATTGCAGGCCATTAACGAATGTTTTGATAATTATCAATTATCTCTACAACTGTGAAATATCTATACATGTATACATTATGTATTATTTTGAAACTGTCTTGTATGAAAATGGCATCAGGTTTTGTTATTTTCCTGTAAGCAAAACAGTTCATTTTTGTGAAAATTCACTTTGAAAGAATAGTTTATAACACATACCCCTAACTCTCAATCACATTTTCATCATCACAGAAGGTGGGTCAGGGACAAATCGATTTGAACTGATACATTTGCCTTGAAGCAGGTAAATGTTGCATTCTTTTAAAATACTGTTGGACGACTTCTATGTAATTATGAATCCTAAATTGTATTTCTATGTGTTTTGGGATATTTTGTGCATAACAAGAAGAAGCCATTTCAATATTTTGAGATCCCTGTCACTTTGGAAAGAGGCTTAAGTTAATAAATTGAACAAATTGGGTAGCCCTGATTACCAAAGCATGTTGGTACCTTGGTCTCTTAGTTATTGAAAAGAAATTGTTCACAAGATTTTAAGATATTTGACCCTGTAACCTTTAAAGTGAGTCAAGGCCATTCGCTTGCACAAACTTTATTTTAAAACATTTCATTCTAGTGACCTTAGAAGAGCATCAAAGTTATTCATTTTTAAAAAAATCTGTTGTTCGATATCAGTACTCTGGGCCTGTAATTGAAAAGATTTCAAGACATCATTTCATAACAACAAATTTATATGAATGAAAGCAAGTAATTACAAGTGCAGGTTGTGTATGATATTAAGGCAACACTTTGTAACATGTGTATTCCATGGTATGTCGATATTAAAACCATTTTATGCTTTGTGACCTGTGCTCTCTGGTGCTGTAAGCATTATGCAAGAAAGTGCAGAACTTTTAGACTTCATGTATGCTAAATAAAAACACATCTGACTCAAAAAGTTAAACAATCAGGCATATTCATCTTGTTGGCAATATTACTTTGAGATAAAAATGACATTTGTATCTCAATAAAGACCAGCAGTATGTACTTTGACACATGACTACTGTATAGTCTATGTCTATGGCAATATAACTGCATTGATCTAAAATCTTGTCTTTTTCATGGTATTAACCTGTTATTGGTCTTCTATCAGTAAAGCTACATGTTACATGCAGGCACATTAAATGGCATTCTTTTAACTACATACATGTATCTCAATGAGCATGAGTCATCTACAAAGTGCTCCAAATAAATGCATGTTATCCAAAAATAAAAAGTATCATAAACAATACAAATTTCCTTACAATTCCACCTTATGAGTGATAAAGAAGATGGCCATGTGTATGAAGTTTGATCAAAACCCAATAAGGAATTGCCACTTTAGTACTCAGAAAGGTAACAATGACCTTGACTGTGACCTTCATTACAATGCTGGAGCTCAAGTTTGTCCAAAACATCATGATACTTTTTAAGAAATGTAAAGTTTGATGGTCATGACCTTGACCCTACAATCCTAGAATTCAAACTTGTCTGAGATAATATATTAACCAGGCATTGCACACAACACAAATACTCCTGCGCCTTAATTTATATATTTTATTTTATGAGCAAAGACCAATTTTCAGTTCATAGGAACAATGACCATGATGTCTGGCCGTTTAACCTTGAAAACAATCCCAAACAAACACTACTGGCAAGAAAGCAGTGTATGAAGTTTAATTAGTACAAAAAAAAAGGTTATACAGATACAAAATGACAGACTGAAGGACAGACAGGGGCATTACAAATTCTCTTTCTAATCTTTGATAGATGAGGGTATGAATATCAACTTTACATGAAAAGTGTGCATCACACACAAGTTAACAAATTTTAGTTCTGTTGATGAAAATGAGAATGTTCACTGGAAGGAATATTATGCTCCACTCACATAACCATGCATGCTTACTTATAATTAGATCAGCATTCCAGTACTTTCATGTAGGGTCCATTTCAGGGTCACTGTGTCTAAATTTTAATAATCCAAAATTCCTTTAAGTTTAATTATCAAGATGTCAAACTGTGAACAGCTAGATAATGAATAAATGGTGATTAATAATTTTATCTCACTACATGTGTATATACGAGATAATCATAAATTGAAATGTCAAATTTTAATTTTATGTATGGGCATGTTTACATCTCACAAAAGAGCCCACGCCCAAAAAACTGCAATGACTCAGTTTTCAAAGTAAATCCTACAGATAGCAAACATGTCAACTGAAATGAACAAATAGGTCAATGGTATTTTCTCTGGCCAATCCGTATGAATTGCTGCTAGACACATCTGCCAGTGTAGAACATCAACATCCTGTGAAATGCCATACCACTCTTTTACTAATAGATCTGGGAAAAGATACTGTATACACATATACATGTACACTTTACAACATTACTGCATTTTCTAGATTAGAGTCCTTTACTACAGTATT